AAAAAAAAAAAAAAATTCCCACGTTTATTTATATTTCGCGGCAATTTAGTCTGGAAGAAATCCTCTCTAAATTTGTTTATCAGACAATTATGAATGAAAATGTGAAGAAAAAGAACTATTATGAATGAAATAGTACTACAAACTGAAAAAAAAAAAAAAAATTCCCACGTTTATTTATATTTCGCCGCAATTTTTGGGTTATTGTTTATTTCTCCAATAAGTAGTTTTCTTAAATAATGATCTACTGTCTCTGGTGCATAACCCTACCCCAAATTATTACAGCAAGTTCTCAAAGATGTCGTGAAGGGAAAACACTATTTTAACACGCAGGCATTCTCGAATGATAGAAGTCGTCACGAAACCGTATTTTTGTATTACGAGCCGAACTTTCACCTTTGTTGTGATGAGATGGGAAGGACGAGGGCGCATTTTCAGGGGACGAAAACACTGAGATGTTAAAAAGAAGAATGTCTTCTTAAAATTCCGGACCGACCAAATGCGAATTTTCCAATAGTGTTTCCGTCAGGAAACAACAAAATATGTTTTTTTGGAGTGCAGCAGTCGATTTTATAGACATTTGCATGGTCGAATAAGGTAAATTATCTTTTGTTTGTACGTTTTTGCTGGGAAGCGCGAAACCAAGGTCCAGGATTATTGGGGAAGTTTTGCCTTCGCGCATTTATCTGTAAAATTGCACTGTTTACGTCCGTATTTTTGTTTGTTTGTTTGTTTAATAGGTAATGGGCTTCCAAGCAATTTACCTGAGGCCATGTTTACTCATTGAACCNAAAAAAAAAAAACAACTCCTGTAACACTGTAAATATATTTCAATCATTTTGTTCACTCTTGGTTCATGTGTGGCGAAAACCAGAAGGATCGCGGGTTGAGTGGACAAGAAGCCTGAAAACATGTTCGTTTACATTGCGCTATCGGCATGGTAAGTCTTTTGTTTCTGGCTCTTTGTAAAGTACAAATCTGTTTAAGGGGGAAGATGAAGATAAATTCGTTGAATCAGGGGGTCTGGCAGCTACCTTCGATCTCGCCGCCTTTCTGGTTTCTATTATCGCCCCAGAAAAGAAATCTGTCAATCATTTGAGAACCGTAATAACCCATAACGCAAAAATAACGTGAGGAAACCGAAACTTCGTCGCCATTTGTGGTCAGGATTTACCTTCGATTCGATAACTTTTTTTTCGTTGTTAGCAATTTTTAACAATAGCTCTGAGATAATCATAACTAAGGGAATGAACGACCAGGTTTGTGCTATTTTCCTGACGAGCGTGGTTGCATTCTTCGTTGCCTAGAGAGGTTTCGCTGTCTCAGGAAGAAAACGAAGCTCGAATTTTTATTTTGCTGTGGAAATTTAAAGATTTATTACCTTCCGTCTCCATACCGACCAATTATATTCTTCTCTAATTTCTATGGAAACTAGCGATGCGGAGCTGTTTCATGACTGCCATCGTGCATCGCGAAGCCTCCGAATGTAAGCCTTTAAAATATTTGGCAACTCTTCAGAATTGTACGTTTAAATTTGAGCTTGCATTAACCAAGCTTTTCTGTCTAAAGTTTTGTTCGTCTTAACTTCCTGTCTTGTGAAAGACTGCATTTACTTTCAGTGTTTTTCCTGTAATATGTTGAGTCTGAAGACTTTTTTTCGAGTAATTTATAATATGAAACCTGAAAGCAGTTGCAGATCAGTCAACAATATTGAAAATAGCTACTGGTTTGCATGTCTCAATAATACAGTGGTGAATTATAGAGGTTTTGAAACCTCCATCCCTTAATGTTCAGCACCATTCTGAGCTCTCAAATTTAAAATCATTTTTCTGCTTCTGCATATGGGAATGTCCAAAATGGACTATTTGCTGGGCACAGACTCAATGTGAACTTTTGCTTCCGTGGAAATAAAGAAAGCAGCTTCTGCTCACATGCGTTGGCATAATTTGTACTGGTGATAAGCATCAGTTTTATTTGTGTGGTGGGAGAAAGCTCTGTAATACCTCTGGATATTAAAAAAGGCTGCCATGTACTCATCTGTTGAGGGGGATAATTTAATGAAATAGACCCAGGAAAGGCAAATGAGCCAAGTTTCCTGTAGCTTGTAGTGGTGCGCTAGTAATGAGGTAAGCAGGTAAAATGGGCATTCATCCTGACAACTAACTTTATCTTGGGCAAACCTGAGTCAACAGAGCCTCCACAACATTTGAAATTAGCCAATTTTGATTCTTGGTTTTCAGGCTTTCGAGAATAACAAATTTGGCCTAAAGTGTTGATTATCAATGGTTTGTTCCTGTAATGGAAAGATAGCAAAATAAGACAATAGCGAATACTGATGTTAAGTCCGATGAATGAAGTCTTTAATAGTACTTGTCTCAAATGACAAGTTTTGGTTCAAGAGAGGAGCATGAACCCTTTGAAAACTGATTGAGAGGTGGCATAAAAAAATAGTGCCCGGGAAAGGGCTACAGAAAGAGCGCCAAAATGAGATGGTTAAGTCAAACTTCCTCCACACTCTCCATCTCTACTAATTAATTGGACCTATTACTTAAGCCGTTAAATCAAGAATATCAAAACAAAAGTCTGAGGATGATCATGAAGAAACAAAAACAATCAACACAATCATCACAGCTTTGGACCCATTTAGGATCTATCCCATAATTGTAATTATAACGGGTTACTATACTTTACTCATGGAAACCAGGCTGGCTGAGTTATTTATTTATTTCCAGCAAAGTGAGACAATGTATCAGAAGAAGTTGACAAGTTAATCCGAAAACTAAATAACAAGATACATTCTGAGACATTATTGGCCTTCTTGTATGATCACGTGACTAACCACGTGACCAAATACGCTTTTTAATACCAATCATTCTTACTCATGCTCTCTCAATTTGCATGTTAGTTATTTGGTCTAACTTAAAGTGAGAAAGTACGAAAATGCTCTGGACCTATTTGGGATCCATCCCATAATTGTAACTATAACGGGTTTAAGGGAACCCACTGAACTTCTAACATGGAAACGAGGCTGGATTAATTATTTATTCCCAATAAAATGAGGCAATGTTTCGTAAGAAATTAACAAGTTTAACCAAGAAAATGAATTGCAAATTTGCATTCTGAGACACTTTTGGCGTTCCAGTGTGATTACGTGACCAACCACGCAATAAAATCTGATTATAATGCCTAGCTTTGGATATAATAATCTTACCCTAGCCCTTTTAATTTTTATCTTAATTATTAGGCCAAGTTCATACTTAGAAACTACGAAACAGTAAAATCTTTTATTAAGCCCTAAAAGCTTCAAACGCACTTTAAAAAGCTAATCACAAATTCATATGAATGTTGCTAATATTGCAAGCGATACGCGGATTTATTCCTTTGCATCCGGCATTCTTGTTCATTCTCGGTCGCACAGCCCAGCGCAGTTGCACAGTGCTGTGCACGGCAGTTGGGCTTTAACGCATTTGCATCGTCCTGCACAGCCTCTTTCACTCTTGCAACCATATTTTAACTCCGGGGGGGGGGGGGG